TCAAAAAAATTGATTTTGTCATTTGGGAGTTGTAGTTTCTGGGATTTATAATTAACCTACAATCAAAGAGCATTCTGAACTCCACCAATGATGGAATTGAACCAAGCGTGGCACACTAGACTCCCATGACCAACAGAAAACACTAGAAGAGTTTGGTGGGCATTGACCTTGAGTTTGGGAGTTGTAGTTCACCTACATCCAGAGAGCACTGTGGACTCAAACAATGATGGATCTGGACCAAACTTGGCACGAATATTCCATATACCCAAATATGAACACAGATGGAGTTTGGGGGAAATAGACCTTGACATTTGGGAGTTGTAGTTGCTGGGATTTATAGTTCACCTACAATCAAAGAGCATTCTGAACCCCACCAATGACAGAATTGCGACAAACTTCCCACACAGAACCCCCATGACCAACAGAAAATACTTATGACCATCCAGTCCAACTCCCTTCACCAGGGCAAGAAAACATAATCAAAGTCCTCCTGACAAAGAGCCATCCAGCCATAGATAGATAGATAGATATAGATAGATAGATAGATATGATTCACACACAGAGAGATATAGTATAGATTTGAAAGGGACCCCTAAAGAAGGACAATTATATGTTGCATGTTCCAGAGTAGGCAAACCAGACAATCTCCACATCAACACTGGCAAAGAAACAGCAAGAAATACTGTTTACCCACAAGCAGAAAGAAATTACATATATTAGAAACCAACACTTTCTCGTTACTTTATTTTCCAGATCAACAGACTGGGCCACAGCAACGCCTGGCAGGGGACGGCTAGTGTGTAATTCAAGTGAATTCTGCCTTTTGCCTACCACAGTGTGTAGATTAAGTACCAATGTTATAATTTTCACAATATAAAAACATCGAATGCTGTCACTATTCCTGCACCTAACTGTGGAATGAATGACACTTGAGAAGCACTGTGTGTGTACACACACAGACAGACATGCTCACTTGAAATGGACAACATACTAAATTTTATGATTCAAGCAGGTAGATTTATAGATCACAAGAGATCAACAGAAAAAAAATTAATTATAGTGGAAGTGTATATATTTTAAGTTGAACCTGTTGTATGTGAAACTTGCCACGAGAGGGCTCCCTTGGTTTCCTGTTCATTCAAAACTTTTGTTATTATGGTACCTTGACATTATCTCCATGTGATCTTAAACCACAAGAAAGGAGATGGTGCTAGAAAATTAATGTTGACTTCAAAGTTCTTTGCAATATGACAGTTGTACTGTGACATGTCTGTAAAGGTGTTTAATCGTTTTTAACTGGGATTTTAAAAATACTGTTTATTTTTAATCCTTCCTTAATGTTTGCATATTTGTATATTTTAAACTGTATGCTGATACTTTCATGTTAAGCCACTTTGAGTCTCCTGCAGGAGAGATAAAATGGGGTATAAATAAATATAATAATAATAATAAATTAATAAAGTGGAATATATTACATTCAATAGTAGTTGTAAAGCTTCCTATTACAATAGTGCTTTGAATGCAATTTTCCTGCTTCTTGGCAGAGGGTTGGACTGGATGGCCCATGAGGTCTCTTCCAACCCTTATGATTCTATAATAGAGCACCTGGAATTATTTTATTCCATATTATATATATGCTCTCGCTCCCGTCAACAGCGCAAATGCGCCTGGTGGGGATGAGAGACAGGGCCTTCTCGGCTGTGGCCTCCGCCTATGGAACACTCTTCCAGATGAGGTAAGATCCACTCCCTCCCTCCTGGCTTTTAGGAAAAAAATTAAAAACATGGTTTTGGGACCAGGCCTTCAGCCAGTAGAAACAAACCTACGCAACATTTCGGAAAGACAATGACTCAAACGGCAATTCAACGGATGAGACTGTTTTACTGTTTTAATGATTGTTTTACTGTTTATGGATGTATTTTAATATGATTTATGTCTTACTGTAACTGTATAATTGTAATTGTTTGTGCTGGCATTGAATTTTGCCATTACCTATGTGGAAACCGCTTTGAGTCCCCTTCGAGATGAGAAAAGTGATATACAAATGTTGTCAATAAATAAATAAATAAACAAACAGATGAAGGTAAAAAAAAAGCAAAAAGAAAGAGCGTTTCTTCAAACCAACAGTCGAAGAAAGGCAAGTGATGGTGAACAGCCTTTTAAATGTTGTCAGACCGTGCCATTTATGGGCTGCATACAATCCTGGACCCACATTCACAGCATATCTGCTTTGAACTGGGTTGTCTGAGTCCACACTCAGATAATGTAGGATTTTCTGCCTTGACATTTTGGGATAGAGGGTTATGTGGAAGGGCCCTAAGTTCAAAGTGCAAAAGTAGGCTAGATTCCTCTTGAGGGACCTTACACCTTTGTAAGTGGATTGATGCCTCCTGAAATAAGAATTGCAAGACTGTCTAATGTCTGTATCTAGTAGAAGATGGCTATTATGTTACTATATAGCAGGTGCCCAATGTGCACCAGAATATGCATTGAACAGTAAGGTGTAGCATGCACAGACGCACATTGCTCTTGAGGGACTGCAGACAGTATCATCTTACGCACCATCACAATTTAGTGCTCTGGTACATAGTTAAGTATCTGTAAAGTTATGTAATTTAGGGCCCTTCCAGACAGGCCCTATATCCCAGGATCTGATCCAGGTTTTCTGTTGGCTTTGAGCGATTATAGTGCCAAGGCTTAAATATGGTTTTATGTGGGCAAGCAGATGGTGGCTACTTAATGGCAGATGGTCTGTATCAGTAACTTCAGCTGATGTGGTCAGAGGCGGCCCTACGTAATTTCAACGGTAAGCAAAGTATTTTGGCCCCCCCCCAACCATATTTTCTGTTCGTCGTGGGGGTTCTGTGTGCCATATTTGGTTCAATTCCATCATTGGTGGAGTTCAGAATGCTCTTTGATTGTAGGTGAACTATACATCCCAGTAACTACAACTCGCATATGTCAAGGTCTATTTTCCCCCAAGAGCGCTCCAAGAGCGCCCCTGGGCAAAATCAACTATACTGCAAATTCTTACTTTGCGTAATGGGTTGAGCCGCCCCTGTGTGAAGGGCTATAGTATTTTTACTATACCCCAAATAACCAAACCAAATCTAAAGTTGGCCAAAAACTGATTCGTAACCATTTTCTTACATATGTTGGGGAGTGGTCTCTGGTCAAGTGGTCCCTGGTAAAAAAAAAAAAGGTTGGGAACCACTGGTCTATATTTAAGAAGTGACGGTGGGGACAAGGAACCAAATTTGGAGAGAGGTTAAGCATCTTAGGAGAAGAAATCTGTCATAGGGGCTTTTCCTCCATCTAGGGCCCCTTCCCCATAGCTGAATGAAATCTCACGTTATCTGCTTTGAATTGCGTTATATGGCAGTGTAGACTCAAATAATCCAGTTCAAGACAGATATTGTGGGATTTTCTGCCTTGATATTCTGAGTTATATGGCAGTGTGGAAAGGCCCTAAGACTGAGAGAATGTGGCTTGCTCTAGAGTATTTGACCTTGGTCTTCCAAAGTCTCAATCCAAAACTTCAACCACTGCACTACACTAGTTCCCTGAGTAGAGTATGGTATGGAAATATTCCTCTGGAGAGATACAATTCCTATGGAGGAACAATTTTTCCACTTTATTCAAAATAAAATAAAAAATCAGGGAGGGATTTCCAGTATTTGACGAATGCCACTGAATAGTTCTGATGCCCCTCCTCACCCCTCATGAGGACATATGTATAAGAATTGAGTCAAGCTGTTCTGAGAATAAGAATGGCTTTATTTCAACAATTGAGAATTTCAATGGGGATACTATGATCCACAACTTCAAAGCAAACCAGAAAGTCACATGGTTCATCACGTTCCTTCCCTGAGTTCTCTTTTCCCTTCCCACCCAATAATAAAAGACACAGCCCTTTCATTTCTCCAGCCAGGACCATACCAAAATAGAATGAGGTGGACCAGCAAATTTGGCTGTCACTGTCCCCCTCCCAAGTTTAGCTAATTTCAGCTAAGCTTGAGCACTTCCTCTCAACCCTGGCAGTATAAACACAAGAATAACAAACTAAATTATCAATAATTTCTTAGCACACCTTCAGGACCGGTCCTAGGTAATTTTCAAGTGTAAGCAAACAGTATTTTGGCACACACACACCCCCAAACCAATTACTGAAAAATAAAAGGTAGAAGAGCGCGCCTTGGAGATTTGCACTATATGCAAATGCGTATCTTGCCTACTGCTTCAGCCACCCCTGCACACCTTGATAATCTATGTCTGCTGCCAGAGTCATTTGCCTCACTGTGTATATTAACAGGGTTGGGTCTATTCTCAGCTGGATGAAAACTCACAGATGCTCTGCTCCCATTACACAATGGGGCAGTTGGAAGAGGCCTCATACTGCAGACTTTTTTTCTTCTCTTCCCTATCCTACACAAGGAAAGACAGGCATGCAAGAAGCAAAGCAGTGGCAAAGTTGGGAGAAGGCCTTTTTGCTCTGTGCTCATGCATAGCATGCAAGACGAAAGTATGATTATTTCACATCCTCATTCAGTCATGAAGATCTCCACATACTTCACAGAATTAGTCTGAGGAGAAAATGGAAGCAGTTGTAATATCCATAAAAGAAAAGCAGAACACAAATAATACAGCATGCATACCTTACACATACAATATATCATTAACTTTCATACTGCACACTCTCATATAATCTGCTTTAAAATATTTCGGAAGCTCTAGCTGAGTTGATGCCATCTGGCCATTTTTTGCTTTACAAAATCAGCCCTCATGTTGCACTTTGTTCTACCTAGCTCAATTTCAATCAAAAATAGCATAAAAAGTGTCAAACAAATACAAATGTTTATGTGGATCTCAACCACAGGCCTTTCTGTGCTGTGGATCCTGGCCAGAGGTCTTTCTATGCATTTTTCCAAGTTTCCTCAATGGCCAGCATCTTTTACGCTAAACAAATGATTAAATGTGCACATTAGAAGTTCACTCTTTGGAAAAACACCAGATAAATTTGGATAAAGCATGTGATAACACCAGCGAGCATGATGCTTTTTGCTTTGAGTCTTGGCATTCTTGTTAATTGCCATTTTGTGCAAAAGAATGGTAAAATCAGAATATTAATGTTCTTCTGACTCATCGTCTTCAAGGATGCATTCACACTGGATAGACTTTATTCTCGGAAATTGCCAGCTGAGCAAAGGTCTGACAGCTGCCATGTTGATCTTCGCTTCTCGGATTGAAGACAATGACATGGGCAGCTACTGTGGACATCTCTCCACAGTGTTTGGTGTGGGCTAGTGTGTCCTTCTCTGAAATTGGATTCACATTGGCATCTACAATCTCTTGGTCGCTGCATCGGAACAACTGGACCAGACACTTCCGGAACTAGAAATGAAATTGCAATTGATTATGATTGGAATTTCATCAATACTTTGTAGAGTATTAACAAACCTCCAGAACTACAACTGAAATTTCAGTTAACTAGAGTCATCAATACACTTTATTATCTATTTTTAAAGGTTTTTTTGACAGTTAAAAAGTCCCCAAAGATATTGCTAGTGGGCCTTAGTTCAAGATACTGGTGTTCCATCGGTCCTGAATAGGGTTGCATTCTTCCTAAATCAAGCCTTAGGACCCTTTGCCCATCAGGTGCTTTTGAACTACAACTCCTAGAACCTTCAACCATTGGGCATGGCTAACTCATGGAAATTGGAGTCGAACAACATCCATCTAGGTCAGTGTTTCTCAATCTTCCTAATGCCGAGACCCCTTAATACAGTTCCTCATGTTATGGTGACCCCCAACCATAACATTATTTTTGTTGCTACTTCATAACTATTTTTCTACTGTTATTAATTATAATGTAAATATAAATATAATTATAATGTAAATATAAAGTAGACTGTATTTTCATTCACTGGACCAAATTTGGCACAAATACCTGAAACGCCCAAATTTGAATACTGATGGGGTTGGGCGGGGGGATTGATTTTGTCATTTGTGACTGTGGTTGCTGAGATTTATAGTTTACCTACAATCAAAGAGCATTCTGAATTCCACCAATGAAGGAATTGAACAAAACTTGGCACACAGAACTCCCATGACCAACAGAAAATATTGAAAGGGTTTGGTGGGCATTGACCTTGAGTTTTGGAGTTGTAGTTCACCTACATCCAGATGATGGATCTGGACCAAATTTAGCACAGATACTCAGGCTTCCTGAAGGCTACTGGGGGAGTGGCCTTCAGGAAGAGCTGTTCTTAGCCATGCCCACCTCATCCCTCTTTACATCACTGGGCGTGCAAAGCTGCCAATGCAAAGAGGGACAAGATGGGCATTGGTAAGAACAGCTCTGCCTGAAGGGAAGCCTCTGATGCAAAGAGGGACGAGGTGGGCGTGGCTAAGAACAGCTCTTCCCGATGGCCACGCCCCCGGCCTTCAGGAAGAGCTGTTCTTACCCACGCCCGCCTCGTCCCTCTGCAATCCATCGCCATTCGTTGCCACCCAAGGAAGGGAAACTGCGAGGTTAGTTTTAAAATCTGTGCAGGGAAGCCGGCGATGCAAAGAGGGACGAGGTGGGCATGGGTAAGAACAGCTCTGCCTGAAGCAAAGCCGCCGATGCAAAGAGGGACGAGGTGGACGTTAGTACGAACAGATGTGGCTTTGCACGCCCGGCGATGCAAAGAGGGACGAGGTGGGCGTGGCTAAGAACAGCTCTTCCTGAAGGCCACGCCCCTCTTTGCATCGGCGGCTCTGCAATCCATCGCCGTTCGCCGCCACCCAGGGTTTTGTCATATTGAAAATGCTTTTCAAACCAACAACACATTTTTGTTCAGAAAAAACTGTGAGATTTTAAAACTGTTTAGGCTTTCTGACTTTGTCAAAGTTAATGCTTCTGGAGGGAGGGGCACCTTCCATTAATGAAGCAAACGAAGCAATTCAGATTTCTGCTATTTCCGATCTTTTTTCAAGAAAATATCAGAAATCATTTCAAAATCGAAATACCAGCGCCCCCTATATACGAAACGAGTTTAGAACCATTTTTTTCTTGATCACCCAAGCCTAGTGTATACTTTGGAAATTGCAGAATACAATTGTCGGTTACTAACTAGCTCTGTATATTTGAAGATGTGTCACCAGTGCTTAAATTCCTCTACTCATTCCCATTTCCAAGCTTTTCACTCCGACTACATAGATAAAAAAATTAATTTAAAACATAAAGGCAGAATCAAAACAGAAATCATGCCTGTGATATCAAAGCAATTCTATTCAAATACCGAAGCAGGAGGTATACAGTACCTGATTATTCATAAAGACATAGATAACTGGGTTATAAACAGTAGCTGTTTTTGAAAAGAAAGCTGGGATTGCAGCAAGACGTGGATCCAGTTCAATCGAAGGGCAGGTAGTGACCAAAATTGAAAAGGCTGCATATGGAGACCAGCAGATTAAAAATGCAAGGATCATAATGACAACCATTCTAGTAACTTGTCTTTCAGGCTTCCTTGTAGTACCTAATCTGCCTTGGGTATCTGAAACCTTAGGAGAGAGAGAAAGGGGGCACAAATTACACAAGCCAACAAAATCAAACTTTTTGTAATCATCAGAAATGTGAATAGCAGTTTCAATCAATTTTAATGCTTATTTTAATTTTTTTTCCAATTACGTCAACTTTTAAAAAATATGATGAATGGTACATTACAGTGGACTACTGTAAACTCTGCACATTTCACATCATATTCATGTAACACAAGCCAACAAGTAATTTCATCACATACAATTTTAGGTCATTCTTATAGAATTTTTTGCTCTGAATTCAGATCTGTTTATTTTTTTTCTCTATCATGTGTAGTTTTTGCAATGAGGCTAACTGAATAATTAATGCATTTACACACTGATATCAATATAATCTAATTAACCACAATCCAACAAACATTTTTCATCAGATGTCATTTTAGGTCATTTTTTCCCACTGAATTCAATCAGTGTTTTTTTTTCTCTCTATCACATGTAGTTTTTGCAATGAGGCTAACCGAATAATTAGATTCTATTCATATCAGTACGTAAATACATTAACTATTTGATTAGCCTCATCGCAAAAATTAACCATGATAACTAAAAAATAAACACAGATCTGAATTCAATGTGAAAAACTCTGTAAGAATTATCTAAAATTATATCTGATGAAAAATACTTGTTGGCTTGTGTTGTTAAGAGAATTGGCATGGTAAGAATTACTCTCATACAGTAAGTTAAGAGACAATTTTGATCCAGATGTGCAAAGTAATGTGGATAATTTTTTGGCTGCAAAAAAATGTAATCAAAATCTCTTCTACAGCAAGAAATTCAAGAAGGCATAGAGAGGTGAACTGAGAGTGTAGCATATTATTATTGTCACTAGATAAAATTGCTAAACTTTACATATGAAATGCTCAGATTCCTTTAGGTTATTGGGTTGATTTTTAATACAATAATCATAATAACTTTACACAAATCAGTCAAAACTTAAGGATGTAGGAGCAGGTCCATTTCTCAGTGATTATTTGGTAGATACTATTTTACTTATGACCTCACACACGATAAAATCAACGTTTCTACACATATGGGAATCAACAACCCACAGAGCCCATCACATGACGCAAGCTTCAACTATAGGTTCCTGGTATATTGCTGTTTCTAAAGTGTGGGTTTTTCCCACACTAAGTCAATTAGCAGTCAACTTCTTTTTCAATTTCCTACATAGAGACATGTAAAAAAAATCCCAATTTAACATGTGATGGGAATCTCCATTGCCATTTGTAAATAAAACAATGGCATTGTCATGGAGGGAGGAGTCAAGATGGGCAGTATCATTTCCTTTCTTCCGCCGTTACCATTTTGGGACCGAGGAGGAAGGAAAAGGAATAGATCTCAAATGTAAAATAAACAGATTTTGCTTTTTAATGGAGATATATCTATGCGTAAATGAAATAGGCCTTATACTTTCCACAAGACAAAACACATAGGATTTGTTTTCTATCCAAAGAAAATGGAGGAGGAGACAGTCGGAGGAGACATATGTCCCCGTGTGATGACAAATCAAACAGATAAATCTTAAAGAAACCAGAGATGAGGATTAGGTGTGAAGGGGTAGGAAAATCTTCCATTTAATTTCAAAATGGGGAGTGGTGAAGTTTAAGGGAAACCAACAATCTCAAAGGTTTTACTTATCCCGTGGGATGAAGTCCTTGCTTTTCCAATAAATAAGTTGCAGATAGAGGTCCCATCTATACTGACCATCTGATGTCGTTCCAAGCTAACTTCCAACTCCAGTAGCCAGACAACAAACTCCCACAAAAGCAAGCAAAAGAAAGCCCTTACACCAGTGCTCTGTGGTTTGTGTAATCACCATCTGGGCCTCAAACTGGTTCCAAGAATTCCTATGTAATCATCTCCAATACCAGTCTGAAACTGCATTTATGGTTAATGTATATGGCCCCATGGATACAGGTAGATGTGTCCATGTGCATTACATGTGTATTATTACTTCTTTTGCAGAAAATTTCGTACCAGAGGCAGAATTAAATGGATTATATTAGTCTACATTGTCATATATTCCAGTTCAAAGCAGAAAATCTGGATTTTATATGTAAGGAAGTAGCAGAATGCTAGCATTGTTTTTTGTAAAGGTTGACATTATCTGCCTTGATATTTCAATCTGAAATGAAAAGCTGAATTAAATATTTTCATTAACTAGTTGTTTGTGCATGAGAGAGAGCTCTTAAAGATAAAATAACATAGAAGGAAACTGGAAAGAAATTTAAAAAACAATTAGAATGGTAAATTTGGTAGTATGTCATAATCAAAAGAAAAAAGGAAAGAAAGAAAGAGAAAGAAGGAAGGAAGGAAGGAAAGAGAGAGAGAGAGAGAGAGAGAACTAGGGGCCCTTCTGCACTGCCATATAATCCAAATAATCCACATTACCTGCTTTGTACTGGATTATATGAGTCTACACTGCCATATAATCCACTTCAAAGCAGATAAGAAGGAGCCTAGGTGAAAAGGCACACTATTATCTTCACCAGTTTTCAGTCAATCATGACAAATATCCATAAATTTGTGGAAGGCTCCCTGATACATGTGTTGTTTAACGTCCATACGTTACTATTACTTTAATATTGCTTCCTATTAGATCACTACCACAGAAATGTATCATTTGATTTTATACAGAACAAAGTATACAGATTTGCCCAGAAACTTTCAGATGTCAGAAGGAGGACAATGGATGAGTGAATAAAGCACATTACATGGATTAATTTTAGTGATATTTTAAAAAATTTGTACTTCCCTGAGCATTTTACATCTTGATTTACATCTTCCAACAGTTAATTCAATGTGTCTACATTGGTAGAGATTAACTAATATATTTTCAGATCATATTCAATATAATACTGCCCTTGAGATCTATAATAAACTAAGCAAAGGCTACAGGCATATAATTTTTGGAGACATGATTCCTCTTAAAGTTGACACATTACAATAAAGGATTACTAGCTAAAGCTTCACTGTCATTCATTTATCTCTTGTAAATGTTTGCACCTACCTTTCTAAGTTTCCGCATCAATTTTCCATAGGATACCAAAATCACCAATAAGGGTAGTATGAAACAGGTCGTGAAGAATGTAATTATGAAAGTGTGATCATTGTAGTCTCCAGAATACCTATAAAAACCACAGAAGGCTTTAAGGTTCTGACTGGTCAGCAGGATCAGATAAACATCACATTTCCCAGTTGCCTTACCAGTTGGGTTCACAGGTTGTCCCAATTTTGCTGGTGGTATAGCTGCTCCAACCCATGATAGGAGGGACGGTCCAGATAAAGGAGAAAATCCACACAAAGGCTATTCCCAGTGCAGCATGCTTTCCTTTGAGACGCATGTTTCCCAAGGGGCGGCAAATCACAACATAGCGCTCAAATGCAAGTAGGGCAAGTGACCAGAGGGCAACTATTCCTGCAATGAAGAATAAATACTATTAGTAGAAATGAAAAAAATAAATAAATGTGGTATCATGACAAGAATGGGGATCCATGGACCTTGAGATGTTGCTGAGCTAAAGCTTATAGCATATCTGGTAGTTGCCTATGTAGACTAGACGTATTCCTCAATTCCCTGCGTAGAGACTTGTAAAAACACCCAATTTGACATATGATGGGAATTCCCCCATATGTAAATACGAGGGGTATTTTTAAAGTAAGGTCCGTTTTGTTGTAGACACTAGTAGTTCGTGCGCATACCGCAACGAGCGCGTGCGTCGTGTACCGGCATGCCTCGGGAACAACTGTGCTCAGTTTCCGTTCTGTAGCTAACCTGTACGGTTCTGTTCTGTGCTTTAAAAATGTTTAAGACTATCAACTCACCCTCCGCATGTGAGGTTCGCTCAGTGATACGGTTTTTGTCAGCAAGGAACCTGCCTGCTGCAGAAATTCATCGACAGATTTGTGAAGTGTACGGTGATACTGTTATGAGTGAAAGCAAAGTGTGTAAGTGGGTACGACAATTCAAAGATGGCCGTGACAACGTCCATGATGAGGACCGCTCCGGTCGCCCTTCTTTGATTACAGTGAACTCTTGGTTATCGGAGCAGGCGGCAAGTTTTTATGAAGAGGGTATTTTAAAATTGGTTCAGAGGTATGATAAGTGTTTGAGCAAACTTGGCAACTATGTCGAAAAATAGAGTGAAGTATGTACTTTCTGAAAATAAATTTACTTTTTTGAAATAAACTTTCGTTGTGTACTTATGTTCAAACGAACCTTACTTAAAAATACCCCTCGTAAAACAATGACATCATCATGGAGGGAGGAGCCAAGAATCAATTCTTTTCTGCTGCCATTACGATTTTGGGACTGAGAATGTATAGCAAACAAGATATTCAAAACATTCAGGAGAAAATAGCAAGCATTCAAATCCCGCGCTTTGCCTCTCTGTAATCTTGGCAAGCTTTCATCTCCCTCTTCCTGCAGTCATAAAAGTCCTTTTTAACTCTTGCCTGAAACTCCTGCTGTGCTGCTTTTGCCTATCAAAAGGATAGCAGAGAGAGATTTAAGAGAGCTAAAGCTTCATCCCGTCTCCACCCAAGAACACAAGAATAACCCCTCTATATATGATGTTGTTTTTCAGGCTGTCAGTTGAACTCCTGAGAAAGAAAGAAGTTAAAAAAGAAAAGAAAATAGGGAAGGAACGGTGTAGAAAACAAGTCTTTACTGTGTGATGGCAAATCAAATGGATAAATCTTAAAGAAAGCACAGAGGAGGATTAAAACCAGACTTTAGCACAGCAGGTAAAACCCCTAGCTGAAGAAAATCTTGCCGATTGAAATGTCGACAGTTTGAGCCTGGACTGCGTTGAGCTCCTAACCATTAGCCCAGCTTCTGCTCATCTAGCAGTTCAAAAACAGTAATTTGATTAGATAAATAGGTACCACTTTGGTGGAGAGGTAATAAAAGGTTCTTATGCGGACATGCCAGCAATTCAATTGGGAGTGCATCTAAAGACAACAAAGCTCCTCAGCATGGAAGATGAAGTGACACCCCCCTCCCCCGGCCGCCCAATGGCGGAGTCAAGCACAGCCTCCAGATACCAGAGATTGGAAAAGATAGGAAGTCTTTACCTCTATTTATGTATGATTCTATGAGTCTAAGGGTGAATCTACACTGTAGAATTAATGCAGTTTGATACCACAGCCATAACTCAATGCCTGGTAGTTGTAATTTTTTACACTGTCTTTAGGCTTCTCTGCCAAAGAGTGTGGGTGTCTTACCAAAACACAACTTCCAGGATTACAAAGCACCAAGCCATTGTAGTTAAAGTGGTGACAAAATGCATTAACTCTGCTGTGTAGATGCACCCTAAGCCATCTGTCGACTTATGATAACTCCATTAATAATTTCATATGGTTTTATTAGAGAAGAAATACTCAGAGGTAGCTTTTCCAATTCCTTCCTCTGAAATATATCTGACAGCAACTGGTATTCATTGCTAGTTTCCCATCCAAGTACTAACCAGGCCTGAAGCTGCTTAGTTTCTAAGATCAGACGAAATCTGGTGCCTTTAAGGTATCTCATTCAGTTTTTAATCAATATTAACACTGAATTATTTCCAGGATACTAAGAGTGCATTGATCAGACAAGTTAGCTTCTACTCCTTTCATCCATTTGCTTTGATGGGATGATATGCACTTACACAATTAGCTGCTTAATTGGAAATGAGCTTGAATGATTTTTCGAAGATCACCTGGCTTCTTCTGTGACTATATCAGCTGCTTCTTTCCAAAATAATTTTTGCTGCATATTTTGATGGCCAGTTCAAATTGGTATTGCATTGCACAACCGATGGTGTATACATTAACTTCCCGCTACCTCGTCAATACACTCTCAAAGTTACTGTGATATCAGAATAAAGAGGCAGAACAAGCCAATGTGTAAAGTAGATAGAATCATAATGTTCAAAGAGACCACAACACCCATTATGTCCAACCTTTGTTATGTAGGAATGTACAATGAAAGCACTGCCAACAGATGGCCATCCAGCCTCTGTTTAAAAACCAGAGGAGACTCCACTATAAATAGAAATGCTAACGGCACAAACTGGTGCATATGAGTTGTTATATACCACTAAAAACCAAACAGAAAGGATATGGATACATGGGATTTTGTCTTGAAAAATCGTATTGATGATCCTAGACTATGCATTGTATAATTGATTGTTGACCATTTTCTGGTTTTGAGCATATTGCGTACTGTCCTTCATAATGCGTACCTCTGTATCTTTTGTGTATATCCTACTTTCAGATGTAGCTGGAAGTCTCCTTCATTGTTGAATAAATGCATCAGGGATATGTTAACCAGAAATGGAATGTTGGTATATATATTTTTTAAAAAGGGGGGGGAGAAAGGGGGGGAAAAAAAGGGGTAGGAAAATTTAACTAGTAGAAAGGAAAAAGGAGAAAGAGATTAACTATGGTAAAAGGGATACGGAGGTTTCCTTACTAATGGGAGTGGGAGTAAAAGGGCTAGAGGTGGAGGGAAGACAAAAAATTGGGGTAAAAAATGAAAATGAAAAAAAATAATGAAATGTAAAAGGAAATAAAGAAGAAAAAGAAAAAAGGGAAAAAATGTAAAAATGTAAAGAAAATATATGTAAAATATATATGTAAAAATGAAAGAAAAAAATTATTTTTTTAATTAAAAAAAGGGAGAGATGTAAAGATGGGTTTAAAGCCAACTTTAAAAACTGTGGCATAGACACCGATAACTGGGAAGTCCTGGCCCTTGAGCATTCTAACTAGAAGTCAGCTGTGACCAGCAGTGCTGCAGAATTCAAAGAGACACAAATGGAGGGCAAAAGGGAGAAACATGCCAAGAGGAAGGCATGTCAAGCTAATCCTGACCGGAACCGCCTTCCACTGGAAACCGATGCCCTCACTGTGGAAGAACATGCAGATCAAGAATAGGGCTCCACAGCCACCTACGGACCCATCACTAAGACCATCATACTTGAGCTATGAGGGATTACCTAAGTAAGTAATGTTAACCAGTGTCAGAGATGCCTGCTCCTTATTTAAAAAGTGAGATGATGCTCCTGAATAGACAGCTCTGCGGCTAGTTGGCTCTCTTTGGAATTAATAGCAAAGATAAGAGATTCAATGATGTTACAGCAAGCATGAGCAAACTTTGGCCCCCTATGTGTTTTGGACTTCAACTCCCACAATTCCTAACAGCCAGTCCAAAACACCAGGAGGACTGAAGTTTGCTCATTCCTAAGGCTAACTTTTGCCTGCTGAAGGACAGGTTCTAGCAGCTAATTTAAGGCTTGGTATATTCATTACTTCCATGCAATTCACTCAACATTCACTTGGTCTCATAGCTTGGAAAAGTGACATTTTAGACTACAACTTTTATGATACTCCAGCCAACATGGGCAGTGGCCATTTTGACTGGTAGGTTCTGTAGGGTTGTAATTTTTTAAAAAGTAACTTTTCCAAACTGAAGAGATCACATGCAAATAAGGCAGCAGATGCGGATGGGTGCAAAAAATAAAGTCACCAACAAAGTGGTTTCCTCCACATCTACATTTGACTTGAGGGCATAAGGAGTCTCTAAGGAAGAGTTCCATTAGAATTTTCTTTTTAATAGAATTTTCCCCAGTTAAATAAGTATTACACTGTGAAAATGATACAGTGTTAAATTCCATTAATTTCAATAAAGGAAGTGTTAAGTATGTTGTGTTAAACTTCCCCACTGAAATTAAGATAATTTGGGGGCATTTTTTAAGGTGAATTACAGTGTGGTGTATGGAGGGAGATTTCAATTCCAGAGGCGGCCCTAGGTAATTTTCAATGGTAAGCAAACAGTATTTTGGCGTGCCGCCCCCCAACCAATCACTGATATATATATAGAGGGGGGGGGGCATGGACAAATTTTGGCCCTCCAGGTATTTTGGACCTGCTTGGGAGGGAAAAGGCAGCGATAGCAAGGAAAGAAGGTGAATATATTTCCCTCTGTAGTGAAATTGCCACTCTATGTCAAAGTTTTGGTGTATAGCTCTATGTTTACATATGGAAGATAGGGAAGAATAGGTACAGACAGGATAGCAACAGCAGAAATAGGATTCATTTGCATATGTGAAGCCGATTGGTCATATGCAGATTAGAGTAGGCCCAGGATTTGAAAAGGCTGCTAGGCCAAAATGACAGTTGGAGAGAGAGAGCTGAACATTCCAAAGGGGCAGAGCCAAGGTTCTGAAAGAGGCAGTTAGAGTGAGGGAGTTTGAAAATGACTGTTAGGAATCTGTGTGTGAAGAGGAGAGTTGGTTTTTGAGTGCCTGTTAGAAATAAGCAGTTATGAAGATGTGTTAAAGACTTCTGATATAGAGAAGCAGTTAGTTAAATAGAGCTCGAGTTTTAAGGAACATAAAGAAGGCTAGTGTTGCCTTAGTTCAGAATATAATTCAGCCAAGAGTGAGCAAAGCAAGTAACATGTTTGTGAATGTGAAACATTGAAAGTTTATTCAGAAAAGTAAACCAAATAAATGATACTGACTGTAAGCCTCAAGATTGCAACAAAACACAAATGTAACCACAAGCGTTGGAGCCAGAAGTTATAAATAAACTGTGTTACTTTGTTATATACAAGAGTGTTTCATTGCCTGTGACATAAAGCACAAAGGTTTAACAGCACACAGAAAGTCCCAGCCAATATAAAAGAAGAAACTGAATCAGTATAAGGCAGCAAAGAGGTTTTTAATAAGGAAATAGTCTCCCTCCCTCGCCACACCCTCCTTTCCTTGCCATCGCTGCCTTCTCCTTTCCGAGCAGGAGCCGGAGAGGGAGAGAAGCAGCAGGAGCAAAGGGAGGTGCACTGAGGATGGCGAGGAAGGCCCTGGCGAGGAGGAGGCGAAGGAGGAGGAAGAAGTAGCAGCAACAGCAGCACAAAGAGGGGAGTCGCCATGTTACCACCACTTCCTCCGAGGACCTAACCAGCCTCCTCCTTCCCCACCACCTCCTCCACCTCACCTTTGCCTCAGGAGGAGGAAGTGCCGCTGCCCTCCTCCTCCTTCTCCCAGCGGACCATGTCTCCCGGCAGCAGCACTTTCTCCTGAGGCTAAGGCGAGGCGAAGTAGGCGGCAGGAAAGGAGGGGGCTGGGTAGGCCCCCAGAGGAGGAGGCGGTGACATGGCGGCTCCCCTCTTTGTGCTGCTGCCGCTTCTTCTCAGTTGGGAGCAAGGCCACGGTGCGAAGTTCGGCTAACCACTGCTGTGCAAACACGACTGCGGCATTTACAGAGGCGCCTCAAGAGCGCCCCTGGGCAAAATCAACTATACCACAAATGCTTACTTTGCGTAATGGGTTGATTCAGTCAAAATGCATGCTGTTTCAGGGTCCATTGTCAGCTATCCCCTCATTCTGTTTACCAGAAAGTTACTCGAAACAGGGGGGGGTTACCTTTTTCATTCAGCAAAGATTCAGCCCAATGGCTACAATGGGAAACTTTAAAGGCTCAATCCTCAGCCATTTTAAGGCCTATCTGCATGAAACCTACCTCGGTTTTTGACCCCATTTACAACTGCAGGCCTGCCAAGTTTTAAAACAATTCACCAATCTACTGATTTTTTAGATTTTTTTTAAGTTTTAACCATAACATTTTTTAAAATAAGACAAACTGCAAGAGGGGGTTCTGGGAATTGTAGTTGCCAGTTGTGTCCATTCTCAGCCAGTCAGAGCACCCAGGCTTCTTATTGGCTGAGAAACAAAGAGAGAAAAACTTCATGCTCCAAGAGGATGCCCGCCCCATGCAAGTGTTGCTGGGAAAGCGAGTTCCCAGCAGGGCCCTCTCTGGAAGAGAAGCCTAGGAAACTTTCCAAAAAGAAATGAATGCCGGGGAGGGAGAAAAAGATGTTTCAATAATCCCATCTTCTCCTGGAGCCCGACTGAAGCCCTTGTCTCATGTATATTGCACTCTTAACTTTTTCTTCTCCTGTAGCCGATAAAATCTGGCTCTCTTGATCCGTTTCACCAGACTTTTCTTCTCCCCCATCCCTGTTCTGTTTTCAGAGATTATATGAAATGGACCATCAAATATTACAAATCATTTTAGTTCAAACTGATTTGGTCCCAAGCCTAGTCAGGAATGCTACTCCTTTTGGAAAATGGTTACACTTTCTTTGTGAGTGAGCTATGTCCTGATGAAAAATGGAAGGAGTGTATTCTTAGTATAAATACCATGAAGGCAACAAACCCCAACTGACCAAATCCCATCAAGCTAAGCAGGGCCAATCCTTGGATGAGAAACTATTGAAGAATATCAGATGTTTTGGGGCAATATTTCAGAGCAGAAATCCAGCCTCAATTCCTGGCCTATGGAAACCTTATGAAATTCATGAGGTTACCATAAGGCAACTTAAAAGAACATACTCCCATACATTCTTAGTATTTAGCTTGAAAAAAAAATGAAGTTTGTGATAGTGCTTTAATTCCTTCTGCATAAAAGAATATAACCAAAAACTTGCTAGGATGGTAGAGGAAAACTAGACTGATTCAAGAATTCAGTTAGTGGCATAATTTTGTAATATCCCATAGAAACATCATGTGTTAGTATCAGATATGGAGAAATTGTTTCCAAAGTTTCAAGAAGGAATGCTGAGTTAAAGAGAAAAAATAACAATTAAACCCATGTCATATGCTTTTCACTTCTGTTGCTACTATAATGTTACAAGAAGTAGAGATGGATCAGTTGGGCACCTAGTTAGCAGAGTTGCCCAGCCTGAATCAGGAATTATTTCAGCAAAAAGATAACCAACTTTCAGACTCTGGCATTGTCCTCCCCAGTCTGTTGGACTACAACTTCCATTACCCCTGACCAGCATAGCCAAGAAAAATGCTGTCTGGGGTGATAGGAGGAGTCATCTAGCAGATCTAGACAGCACTGAAATGCGGAAAGCTCAGAAAGACCTTTTTCACATTGGCCATTTACTGCTTGCTGAGGATATTGCTGAACTCATTTGTACAGCTTCAAACTTTTGGCAGCTCAGAGTTATTGCTTCTGAAACAGCCAGCTAAAAATGGCAGTTTCTCCAGAGATGCTTGAAAAAGACAATGCTGAGAGATTCTCCCTAGAGAAAAGTATAAACTCCTTTAACCCATTTGATACAATGCCCATTTCAAAGGCAACTTGGACACACAAGTGAGGATGGGACAACTGCTACATTTCCACTAAAAGGCGGTGTGATGTTATCAAGAAGTTATCTCAGGCTCAAGATAAGAAGTCTTCAGTTCATGTCTCCAAGTGGTTGTGAAATTCAATACATGGCTTGGAGTAAATTGGCATCTATAAGCTTTACACCAGTGTTTCTCAACCTTCCTAATGTCATGACTCCTTAATACAGTTCCTCATGTTGTGGTAACCCACAACCATAAAATTATTTTCGTTGCTACTTCATAACTGTAATTTTGCTACTGTTATGAACTGCAATGTAAATATCTGATATACACCAAGTATTATCATTAACTGAATCAAATTTTGCACAAATACCTGATGCGCCCAAATTTGAATACAGGTGGGGTTGGGGGGATTGATTTTGTCATTTGGGAGTTGTAGTTGCTGGGATTTATAGTTCACCTACAATCAAAGAGCATTCTGAACTCCACCAATGATGAAATTGAACCAAACTTGGCACACAGAACTCCCATGACCAACAGAAAATACTGGAAGGGTTTGATGGGCATTGACCTTGAGTTTTGGAGTTGTAGTTCACCTACATCCAGAGCACTGTGGACTCAAACAATGATGGATCTGGACCAAACTTGGCACGAATACTCAATATGCCCAAATTTGAACACTGGTGGAGTTTGGGGGAAATGAACCTTGACATCTAGGAGTTTTAGTTCCTGGGATTTATAGCTCACCGACTGGATTAGCACTGAATACCCTTGAATAGGAGCCCCCAGTGGCGCAGTGGGTTAAAGCACTGAGCTGCTGAGCTTGTTGATCGAAAGGTCGCAGGTTCGATTCCAGGGAGCTGTGTGAGCTTCCGCTGTCAGCCCTAGCTTCTGCCAACCTAGCAGTTCGAAAACATGCAAATGTGAGTAGATCAATAGGTACCGCTCCGGTGGGAAGGTAACGGCGCTCCATGCAGTCATGCCGGCCACATGACCTTGGAGGTGTCTACGGACAATGCTGGCTCTCCGGCTTAGAAATGGAGATGAGCACCACAACCCCAGAGTCAGACATGACTGAACTTAATGTCAGGGGACTACCTTTACATTTACCTATGTATTTTAATATAGATATTAAAATGGTAATGTGTTTTCTGATGGTCTTTGAGACCCCTCTGACAACCCCTCACAACCCCCCCCCCCAGGGGTCCCAACCCCCAGGTTGGGAAACGCTGCTTTACACGTTTGTTCTAAGAAGAAAACTAAATTAAAATGTGCAATTCCATGCAAAATACGGAAACATCATGTTTCATTTCATTCTCATGTAATTGCACTTGAATATCTAGCTATACAAACAGAAGACAAGTAGAACAACATAATGCTAAGTTTAATTTAGAATTAAACTGCTTCTGTTCAAAAAAAGTGAATTAACCGAGTACTTAGTTAATATGAAGATGACAGGGATTGAGTGGGTTGCAAACGGAGACCCCATGGGGTGACCTTAGAAGCAGAGTAATTGACCAATTAACCAGATGAAGAACTACAGTTAATCACGTATGAATACTTTAATTGGGTAATAGCCCTGAGTTACAATACTGCTATTTTTCAAAGGAGTCATACTTCAGCATTATCACTTCAGATTGTAAAAGGTTTACCCCCAAAAGCACATTTAATTTTCTCTCTTCAAATGGATTTTCCTTATCTTATAGATTAATTTCAAATAACAAGCTCCCATCCCCACTCCAAAAAAAGGCACTGATTCGCCTCCATGGATGAAAGCCACAAGCAAATCCTTACTCTGTTAACTCCATAAAGGTGAATGCTGTTTTATCAAGGAACACCCCCCCACTCCATAAAATTATTTCCATGGGCCACTCATTTAAAGAGTTACCAAAACAGAAACTTGTCCGCTTACCAAAGAAAGTGACTGCGAATCCTTCCAAGACACATGCCCAGTGACCCATGTAAAAATAACCCTTCAGATTTGTCGAAAAACTAATTGTGCCTCCAATCAAAGACACGAGAAAATCAGCCACAGAGAGGTTCACTATGACATAGTTGAGAGGCTGCCTCAGCTGTTTGAATTTGATAGTCACAAGGATGACAGTGAAGTTTTCTGACAAAGAAAGCAAAGTCACTACAAACATCAAGGCAGAAATCAGGTGGAAATTCCAGGGTTCGATGATGTCCAAGGGTTGTAAGAATGGGTCGAAAGGTGCGGAGCTGGAAGAAGGGTTGAAAAGCCAAGAATCATTTTCAGCTTCCCTCCTCAGTCCATCCATGTCCGGTTTGCTCATTGCTTTGCCTTTTGCCACAGAAGAGTGGAGCAGATGAAAAGGTATTAGCACATCAAAGCAACTATGTTTATTCCTAAAATGGAATTTCCTGTCTAATGGAGAAAGAGTACTGCTCTTTTTCTTTCCTTTTTTTTTTTTTTTTTTTGGAATGGGGAATACTCCTGATACTTTTCTGCTCGAAAATAAAAACTAGCAAAAGAAAAGTTCTGAAGACAAAAATGCTTGGCACTTGCGGTGGGGCCAAGCCTAAATAAGCCAGGCTCTGAAAAGCAATTTGGTCTCCTCCTTTGGCATTCTTTTCATGGCTGTCACTGCCTCCAAACTAGCAAGATTTTAAAAAAAAAAAAACCAGTGGGATTTCTCCCTATGATTCCTCCATGACAGATAACAACACAGAATCAGGAATGGCCTCCGTATCTGCATCTCTTCTAGAGGAAGGAGGAAGACAGGAACAGCTTGCAACAGGAATCCTTTCCTGCCTTCCCAGATCCAGGAAGAGGAGCAGTCCCTGTATTGGAAAGGATCATCGAAGGGGAATTGATTCTTTCCTCCTGCCTCTCAGTGTGCCGTGAGCAAAGAAGAGTGAAAAGCATCTTTCTTTCTAGTAGGTCTGCTGCTGGGGATAGGGCTGGCCTGACCTGGCAGCACGACAGAGAATGGCCAGGTAGGAAACGAAGCTCAAAGACTTGCTTGTCAAATGTGTCCATGAATAGAGTGAGAGCTGATGCCTGCAAAAGAAGCAACTGCAATTTTGGCTAATGTTTTCCGGGGAATAATAAAACTGCATCCTGACAATGACAATATTTGGTGTCATTGCAACTGCCCTTTCCCTCCTGAGCTGCAATCAGTCAACGGGTTTTAATAAAGGGATTTTGATTCTGTCTGCACACAAAAAATAGTATTACCCTCTCTTGCTCTGTAATCATTTTTTTTAAAAAGGCAACCTGCTTCATACAGCCTTGTAGGGCTTGTCTCCAAGAGATAAACTAGATCAGGGTTTATCTATAAGTTTCTTCAGGGTTTCTTGAGACCTGAAAATTATTTCAAGGATTTCTCCAGGAAGAGAAAGTTGAGAAAGACTGAGCTAGATATTAAAAACAATGTGTGTTTCATTTTCCCTCCCATTAGTGGGTTTTCTTATAAAGGCCCTTCCATACAGCCCAGGCATTTGAAATTCTCATAGTGGTCCACGAGAAGGCCTTATTGGTGCATTAGTTAAACTGTTATGTTTATTCATATCATGATCTGATCACCATACACAATATATCCCATATGCATGGGGGTATTGGGGTAATGATACAAAAGGTTTGCTAGGCTAGACCCTCTTTCTCTCAGACTCAGCCCCCCCCCCCCCAAATCAAAATCCTGGTACGGGCCTGATACAGCCATATGACTCAGAATATCAAGGCACAATCCACAATATCTGTTTTCAACTGGAATATCTGAGTCCACACTGCCATATAATCCATTTCAATGTGGATTTTATATAGCTCTGTGGAATGTATTTATTATTTATTTAGAACTTTTATATACTGGTCTTCTCACCTCCGCAGAGGGACTCAGGCCGGTTCACAACAAAAGATTCACAAACAGTAGTTTAAAATATCACACCACATAATGCACTAATACATAGGAACCTAAGGGCACATCCAGTCAGCCCCTTAAAAGTGTGAGCTCCCATGTTTTTAAGGGAAAACCCTGCTTTGTGCCAAATTAATTTGACATTGGAAAGACTCGGGTCTTCCTGAAAGATCCAGTTCAAATCCAGTATGGCTGCTGTCTGGACTTCCCCCTTGGAAGTTCTGAGATTTCTGAGGGGGACATCCACACAGCTCTCTCGTGTTTTCTGGGTTGAATCAGTCCGGAATACCTAAAAGGGTGCTAACCCCGTAAAAAAAACGTAAAAACGAGGGAGAAAATAAAATAACTTACCTGGCTGCCATTAAACTGCTGCTGGAGCTCTCCTGGCACATAGAAATGATGCACCAGGAAAAGGTGGGGAGGAGGAAAATTGCTCCTGCCCCCCTTCTCCTGGTGCATCATTTCTATGTGCCAGGAAAGCCCTGGCAACAGTTTAATGGCAGCCAGGTAAGTTATTTTACTTTTCCCCATTTTCAATGGTTGTTTGGAGGGTGAGTGTCTCCCTGTCCTCCCAGAAGGTTCCAGGAGAGCATGTGGATGCCCCCCCCCCCTAGAAAAGCACACACTTTTTGGGTGTGTGTAGACTTTAACCTTTTTGGGTGTGTGTAGACTTTAACAAACCCGATTGTTTCCGGGTTAAAGGGCTGTGTGGAACTGCCCTAGGTCTCAGCAATGAGACTTATACATTAAGCCCAAGAATGCCTTCCAATGGTGACTCAGAAAAGCAATTAAAGCAAAATATGGCAGGAAGGAAAAGCCTGTACAATGAAATCTTTTTACTACTTGAACAGGAGCCTTGTCTAGTATTGCTTCCCTCAATGGCTGAACCACAGTAACATTGGGAAAGGCCACCATAATGCAGCATTGCCCCATGTTACCAAATGCTAGAGAAAATCCAAATTTTGTACTAGAATTCAGGCTTTCCCTCAACTTGGGGACAGAGTGGAGAGTTGGGCCAGTTCCCAAATGCAATTGTCCCCAGTGCCATCCAATATCTCCCTTCAAACCACTAGTTTGTAGGCTTTTCACTGCTTTCTAACTAGTGGTTCACAAATTGATTAAGCCCACACATCTTTTCCGCAGGATCTCTGAAAAATGAATTTCCCCATTTTCATGATTGTGACTGTACAGGATGACCCCAGTATCCATGGAGCATACATTCTAAGACCTTCTATGGGTAATACCAAACCCTGTGCTTTGACTATACTTGGATTGGAGGCATACTATACAATTGCATTGGAGGACATAGAGATGCTCAAAACACATCTGGGGGGATTTTTCTTTTGAACATGGGTAAAGGAAACCATGGATATCCCATCTGAAGATAAGGGTTATGTGTAATTTTATACTTTTTTGTCAGAAGTGACTTGAGAAACTACAAGTCACTTCTGGTGTGGTAGCATTGGCCATCTGCAAGGATGTTGCCCAGGGGACAGCTGGATGTTTACCATCCTAGAATCAGAGAATTATAGAGTTGGAAGAGACCTCATGGGCCATCCAGTCCAACCCCCTGCAAAGAAGCAGGAAAATTGAATTCAAAACACCCCTGACAGATGGCCATCCAACCTCTGTTTAAAAGCTTCCAAAGAAGGAGCCTCCACCACACTCCGGGGCAGAGAGTTCCACTGCTAAACGGCTCTCACAGTCAGGAAGTTCTTCCTAATGTTCAGCTGGAATCTCCTTCCTAATGTTCAGATGGAATCTTCTGTGGAAAGCTTCTCACATGTCCCCACATGGGAAGCTGGAGTTGACAAATGGGAGCACACCCTATCTTGCAGATTCAAACTGCTGATCTTCAGGTCAGCAGTTCAGCCAATACAAAGGTTTAACCTATTGCACCATCGCAGCTCCTATGAATGAAGCCAGTGTATCTATGATGGTTCATCTGCAGAATAAAAGCCAAAGCAGTAAGCAACCAAGGAGTAAAGTACAATATTCTATATATCATGAGCTCCATCATTCCAGCTGCAGAAAAAAAAATCTAGATGAAGAAAATGGTGCTAAATGAAAACTAATCTAGTGGCCAGAACTGTATGAAGCAGCTTGAAATGGGAACTGAATTTACAAGCCCCTGGAGGGAAATGCTGAAGGAAACAGGATATTAAATCGGCATGGTAGGAGTCACTATATTCTTGGATTTACTTCATGAAGTGATAGGTTGGAGTCAATTGGTCTCAAAGGGTGATAGCCTCTAATGAGACAGGAAACGGCCTTTTATTAACAGATGAAGCTCTGAAGTATTGGCCAACCCACCCAGCGCCTGCGAAAACCCGTGATTCAATCAATGGTTTATTATGGAAACTTCAGCTCTGCAGCGATCTTAGACACAGGTGGAAATTGAGGAAAGTGTGCATTGTTAATGGTTATGAATTTCCTCAAAGTTGATTTTTGCTGCTTTTGTTCCAAGACTGGAAAAGAAGAACTAGGTCATCTAAATACAGTGGGTCTTGGGCAGTATATCCACTGCAGATCTGCAAACAGTGATGCAGTGACAAATTCCAAAGGAGAGGCAATTATAATTATTACAGCATTCACAACTATACTCACCATGACAAATTCAGAAAATGCACACAGCTAGGCTGGTCAATACTAATAAGCCATTTCTAGCCATTTTCATCTCTAACAGGAGTCAGTCTTTTGTAAAGCTAATGAATTGCACAAGTAATATCCTATTAAAACCACATAAAAATGAAATAAAGTGGTTTATCTTTCTAGTTATCCTATTACATTATCAAAATGAGCAAGCACTTCGTAGTAGAGTTGTGCACAGAATCTGTCCCTACAGTTTCTAACGTATTTTTCATGTCTTCCATTTCTTCGGGAACATGAAATGGAGAGCCCCCCCCCCCCCCCCCCCCCCCACAAACACACAAATCTCCTCAACACGAAAGCCTGCTTTTGTGTGAAGCCAAAGTTGCTTCTTTGCATTGGAAAGAGAGGGTGTGTATGGTGGGATGGCAGGCCGGGGCTCAGCTGCAGGTGCGCTCCGGGTCTGCATGCATATCCTGCCACACATGCACTCTCAGAGCCACACACACATCTCTTACCCTCTAGAGTAAGAGGTGTTCAGCTGTAGGCACTTCCAGGCGCATGTGCTTTCTAGACCTGCCTGCACTCCCCACCACACACGCACTCTCTTTCCAAGGAGAGTGCGTGTCTGGCATGGCATGGCGGCAGGCCCAGAAAGCATGCACACCTGCCAGTGCCTACAGCTGAGCGTCTCTTACTCTAGAGTGCCAGGTAAGAAGAATGGAAGCACATGCCGGGAAGGAGAGCCAATGGGTGGGAAACCCCCCCCCCCCCCATGGTCTGATTTGGGGGGAGGGCTGAACCAAAAGCAACCCTCCCAATTTCAGAGGCTTCCAAAAAACAGATTGGCATCCCCAACAAAGGCCAGAACACGAAATGGGGCAAGGTTTACCCCAAAAGCACAACCCTACAGTGTAGTAGTTTAAGCAATGGGCGATGACCTTGGAGACCTGGATTT